CGACCCGGCCAAATTCGCACGCAAGGTCCAGAGGCGTCTTCCCCGAATTGTCCATGATGCAGGGGTTGGACTGGTGCTGCAGGAGCATCTCCGACTGCGGAGGAGTGAGACCCCCAGCTCAGCGAGGGCAGGGGCAAGGAGGGCGGCACGGACCCCCAGCCACCGCCGCACCCCGCTGCCGGCCCCACCGTACCACGTCGTAGTGCCCGTGCTGTGCTGCCAGGTGCAGGGGGATCTGGCCCTCGTCCGATGGGATGTTCACGGAGGAACCCGCTTTCAGCACCATTTTCATGGGCTCCTTCTTGCCTTGCCAAGCCACATAGTGCAGGGGCCGCATGCCTGTGGGTGGGCAGGACAGGCGCGCCATGAGCCCCTCGGCACACCGATGCACCTGGCCAGAGCCTGCAGAGAGGTACGGGATGGGGAGCTGTGGCCAGGACCCCAGGACTCACCTTTGTTGTCCTTGATGTCCACCGCAGCCTGCGCCTCCAGCAGCAGCGAGATGAGCTCTGTGTTGCCGTTGAGTGCCGCATGGTGCAGAGCCGAGAACCTGAGGACCGACCGTGGTGTCAGGGGTCCCGTGTCCCTGTCCCCTCTGCAGCCCCACCAGCCCCTGCCCAGCAGCATGGCCCCAAGCCCACAGCCACTGCAGCACCCCAGGGTGCCTGCTCTGCCTCCCACAGCCCCCCACGTGCACATGTCCCCGAGCTGCCCAGGCAACTCCACCTCTACATCCTTCCATGGGTACCCAGCAAAAGAGATGCCACAGGGACCAGCCGTGGCCGAGCCAGGAGCCGACCATGTCCTGGTGTGCAACAAGGGCCAGACGGTGGGATGTGCCATGGCAGATGTGGGTATTCTCCAGCTCATCACTTTATTTAGCTGCCCCTGGGGTGCTGCAGAAAAACCCCTCCAACACAGATGGTGGGACGCAGGGCTGGGGATGTCACCGAGCTGGGAGCGGGGGCTGGCGGGTCCGATCTGGGGATGCTGGAGCGAGAGGGATGCAGATGAAACGCTCCCTGAGGACGCTGCAAGCCCACGGGGTTGAAGGCGATGGGCAGAGCACAACCCGGGGAAGGGCAGGCACAGGGGGGTCCTGCTGGGGTTGGGGGGGTGCCAAGAAGCCACCCTCCCCACTGACCCACTTCCCCCAGCCTGGCCCCGGCAGCACAACCACAGGCACCAGTGGGG